AGGAACAGGTATTTTTCATCAAGTATTGATATGTTGAACTTTAAGTCCCTACATAATATGATAAAAAACATTTAAAAATTAGATTATATTTTAAAAATAGGATAAAGAATTCTTTTCATTGACAGGTGGTGGTTGTTGTTGTTTGGGGGGGTGGCTCAGTCCACCCTGGGGGAGGGGCTGGTACAGCATGTGGTGCCAGGGATCAACCCGAAATTCCTGTGATTTTGCTAAGCTTGCCTAAGCAGGCGCTTTAGACCTCTGAGCTGTCTCACTGCCCCAGAAAGACCTCTTAAGATTTACCTCAGATGTTGTAAGGCTGGAGGTATTGGTGGTAGGAGCAACCTTTCTGAGCTCCCAGAAATGCCCTGAGACCACCACAACCTGAGGTGCCCCACATCACACATGCTCTGGGGATCCAGTGGGCCAGGTGCTGACCCAGGGCAGCTTCAAAGCTGCTGACAAAGAGGCGCAGTACAAAGGACCCCAAAGTCTGTGAATGACTGAAGAGAGAAAACAAAACTGGCCACTCTCAGGAGGGTGCCAGGAGGCTGGATCCTCTCATGTCAGCCACCCACCTTCTTTGCTATAGATTTACCATTGCTGTAACAAATTTTTCTGTGGATGTTCATGGGATGTTAACCAACCATCTGCCATATAGAGCTACTGTGGGTTCTACCCTCTCACCCTGGTTTTGTTCTGTGGTTGTTTTGTTTTGTTTTGTTTTGTTTTGTTTTGTTTTGTTTTGTTTTGGCAGAACCAGAGATTGAACTCAAGCCCTTGTGCTTGCCAAGGGAGTGCTTATTCCACTGAGCCATCTCCCTGGCCCCCTTCTCACCCTGTTGAAGCGTTGCTTGTCCTAGATTGGCTACCTAAAACGCTTGTGTTTGACTTTTTTCCCTAAATTGTTCTTAATATCTAATTAGCAGTCTCTTTTCCATGGGATAGAAATTTTAATTGCTTTTTTTATTAAGTGACTTTTATGTTAGTCTAAGTTAAATTAGAGGCCTTAATGACAAATTTGTAAAACCTCATCCAGCGATAGTGGCATCACTCACAGAACATACACTTCTTTAACTGGTTGTAGTTACAGATGGCATTTATTCTTCTTTAAAAAGTAAACGAAATGGTTAGGATAAATATATAGTTACATTCTCTTAATGAATAGAGGGATTTGTT